GAATCAACGTAGGTATTTTTTGATATCACTTGTTTGTACACGCTCCTCAGTATATGCTATTTAGATTAGATGAAATGGATCGCTTTCATGACGAGCGACGACATAGTCGACCAAGGCAAATTTCACTTCCGAAGATTTTACATAGTGATTATTATAGCAAACTGTCTTGAATAAATTATAACAGAAACTTTTATCAACAAATAACAGATTACTTCTTCGAGGATTTCTTTGCAGCTGCACGCAGAGCAGAAGCGTAGGGGTTCAGTTTGTGCATCAGTTTATGTTTCTTAAGTGGATTCCTGTGTATCTTGGCCGTCTTGATATTCCTCTTAGGAGGACGAACGGCTTTGACAATCTCCTCAGAACGAATAAGTCTCGTTAAGTCCGCGTTAGTAAGCTTGTTCAAAGGAATAGACCAGCCCTTCTTTTGTTGGGATGAATTGGCCCTGAGCGTTCCATAGATAGCATCCAGCTTTTTGAAGGCCGATTCAGTCCAAATGATAAGGCGACCAAGATGTCCTCCAGGTGCAATCTTTAGTAGATTCAAGCGCTCCACATTCAGTATATCAACACCGGGAATGTTACGGAAAGCACGTGCGCAGTCCGCATCTTGCCCGTAGATGAGTAGTGGTCCCCGTTTCATCTTGTGCAGCTTGTTTCTCATCTTTCCAGTACCTGCACGTGTGCGCTTTGAAGCATAGACCTGGAAGTAGAAATTTATCAGCGACTAAAGAGCATAAAATATAGATGGAAAGAAAGAAAATAGGTGAAATCAAAAATAAGACGTATATGCGTACCTTTTCGATGTCGGGCCAGATATGAGAACGACGTAGGAAAGTCACAGCTTCCTTTGTCTTGCGGAACGATTCGATTTTGTCGCTGACAACGAGTGGAATCTCAGCAACTCCATCGATAAGATGACCTCTGGCTTGCACGAGAGCAGGGACCCCAGAGGCTGCAATAGCCGAACAGATAGCATAGCGCTTTTGGGCGACATTAATGCGACGGTGCCATCGTCGAAACACCTTCAGAGGCGCAAACATGTGGCCACCGCGACACATGTTTCCGAAGGCTCCTTGACCAGAGCGGTGGGTACCGCCTCCACGTACACGGGGTATACGGGCAACAGCGCGTCCCGTGCCCCAAGACTCGGCAGAGTGTTGTTTTCCTGAAGTAATACCATGTCAGTTTTGAGATTGAAAAATACCAGCTGGGTAACATAACATCACTGAATCAAAGTGCATTAGGAACTTCTTAGTGGCACTACTTGACGAAAAGTACTCTAGAAATAAAATCTTGAGATAACACAGAAAACTTTTTTCAAGAAGTCTAACCCGAAGACTAAAGTAGAATTTGGTCGTATCAGCGCATTGCAAAACTCCTTCATAATGAACTTTACGACAACATAAATGGACTTGACCAGAACATAGGCAGAGGGCTTGTTTGTTTCGTTAATCCACTAGATTGATGCGTACTAAAGCTATTGCAAGACAGACAAAAGAAAAGTATTCATATAACTGGAACGGTCGGTGGTTCGACCCGCTCTCAAGGCTCGCTAAACTTTCCATACCTCCCGAGTCTATGAATTGATACCAGAGTTATTTAGGCCAGAAATGCATCGAATCACCTCAAGCGAAGCCAAAAAATTGGAGACAAAAGAATGGCGTATCTCTCAGGGATTGATCAAAACCAATAGTTTTATCGTATCTATCCTAAACTGTATTACATTCAAGCGATTTTGAATATGCGATACGACCAAATACGCTACTAAACAACGCCATAAGTCATTCAAAATTCATTTTCATAAGTTGATTAGTCACTAATCACAATTTAATAAAGAGATAAAAATCCTTTCATTATCAGTTGAGACAACTTGTCATGTGGTCTGGTAAGGGCTCTTGTACAGCCCGATAAACGTGTTCGGCCTTACAGACTCGCCGGTCGGGCAGAACCCGTCGTCTTTCAATGATTTTTTTTATAGTCAGTTCTCTCGGGAGCTCTACTCCCTTCCAAAGAGTCATCGAAGACGAACGTTTTTGTACCCTAGGTCAAGCGAAATTTTCACCTAAAGTTTGTCCACCGAAAAACGGTTTGCGATAGAAGCAATTTGAACCAAAAGTTCGATTTGAAACTTGACATTAAGTTAAGCCTTCAAATAGATCACAGCCGTACAATAGCAATAATTCTTATTGAAAATTGCTCGGAAAGCCAAAGTTATGATATATTCATTGGAACGCCTGCAAGAATTTTTAACGATGAATAATTTCTAGTTTACATGGAAATATATTATGAAGACTACTAGAGCAGCAGAAACGAAACATAAAAAAGCTTCGAGGAAAAAAAAAGAAAAAGAAAACGAATCCATAAGAACAGAGCCATAGGAGTGCGACATCTAGGTCAACAACTAACTCACCGGCTAGTGTTGAAACTCCATGAGCTTGACGTTTGTTGCGATACATCTGATCATGAACGAAGCTAACAATATCCGGTCTTAGCGGTGAACGAAAAACTGCCGGAAGCTTGAGTTGAGTTTCCATGGCCTCATACTTCTCGTTGTAAACGGTGACAAGCGGTCGAGCCGCCATACTACCTGAAACCACGTATAGCGGAAAGCAAAGAATGGAATAACATACGTCACATACGAGCAGCTCTATTCAGGTAGTAAAGACATTTCTGAACTTTTATGCTTTAGGTCTTCACGAGAGCTGCAAAGAACATGAAGCACCAGCAACAGCTTCAAGTAGTCACGATACAATTACGCATAAAAGTTAATCTGACTAAGAATAAAGGATAAAGGATAAAGCTCTCGGCGTTGATCAGTCCCTGAGGGATGCGCCATGCATTCGACTTCAATTTTTGACTTCGTTTGAGGTGATTGAATGCATATCTGGCCTTTACAATGACTCGCGGTGGCCTCCCGCTGAACCGAGTCAGTGCTGCTTATCCTCCCAGACAAGCCTGGGACCTGTCTGGTACCAATCTACCGACCCCGGAGGGATGGATGGCTTGGTGAGCCATGAGCGCGAGATCGAACCATTGACCTCGTGTGCGACGCAGGGCACCTCTAACCACTGCGCCACATGCGCTCTCTGAGTAAGAATACGAGCCATAAAATGTCAAGAAGAAAATCCCTGTCGCCAGTCAACGAAAACAAAATGAACGTAGGTCAAAACACCAATGCAGCACAAAGGCCCCATGAAGAGACGTTTTCTTTCAGGAATTTCTTCCAAAAATGGTCATTATGCCTTTAGTATTCTATGTTGCAAAACTTGCGAAGCTTTGACAAAGTCCTGCTTATTCGCTTTCAACCATACAATAAGATAGGGAAGCTTCGATAACTCCATGCTTTATTTTTGAGCCAAACACGAGTTTAAAAAAAAACTCCTTGCATTTAGTCTAAACATAAAAAAAAAGAAAATATTGAAGAATGTCAGCTAGTGGATAAAGTCGGAATTTTAGAGAGGCTTTAACTGCGTTTCCTTTATGGTTGGCACCACGAACAACAACAAAAAGAAGAGATCAATCGCAATGCATTTTTTGACAGTTTCTTACATAATGTGGAGTGCTGTACAAAAACGTTTGCGTCAGCCGGGATTCGAACCCAGATCTCTCTTTCCGAGCGTAGGTGGTGCAACGGTTAGCATACGTTCCCGGAGTGAGATCTGGGTTCGCATCCCGGCTAACGCAAAAAGAAAAGAGGTTACTACCCATCTGGTACTTCCCTCTTACTTCTATTTCACAGCACTGAAGTACTAGGTTCTCCAGCAGCACTTGGGTAGGACTTTAATTATGATACTAGGCAGTTAGTGATGGTTAATTAGCAATCGCTTTAGTGCTAATGCCAACTGGTAGTACTTAGACTCGTCTAATTCACAACACTAAAGCGCCAGATTACTTTATAATTCATGCGTACATAATCACTAATAGCACCTGCCAGTCAGCACTGGCTATAGTATCTATATGAACTAATACCGATTACATCTAAGGCGCCATGGCCGAGTGGTTGTGATGCTCGTCACAGCGCGCGCGGGGCCGATCCCCATCCCCCACTCCCAGCCCAACACCCCTGCAGTAACAACGTAGGCCCAATGGAAAGCTACACTCAGGCTATCTTCGAGGTTGCAAGAAGACTCGCTCAATCAGTATTCCACGACGTTCAAGAAGGCGGATAAAAAAAAGTGGATGCTAAAATCACTGAGATTTACGTAGTGAAGAAAAAACTGTGGAAACAGGTTAATGAGAATTCTGACCTCTTTGAATACAACTTGCCTAGTTGCTTCAACATGGAGCTGTCCTGGGCTAAAATTCGCTTGCTACTCGTGGACGAATGGCGCCTAGGGGAATCGCTAGTACAGCACTACAGGTGCCATAATAGACTTAGGCTTAAGAGCTCAAAATGTGTTATCAGAGTATATTGGTAGGGCGCCCTGGCCGAGTGCCTGTGATGCTGGTCGCAGCGGCGCGCGGGACCGATCCCCACCCCATGTCCCTCCAGCGGTCGATAATGAACGCCCTATAGAACGCCACAGCCAGGCTAACCTCAAGATGTCAAGAAGATCGCTCAATTAGTATTCTACGACGTTCAAAAAAAAGACGAAACAATGAATTGAATGCTGGAAATACTGGGATCAGCAAAGTGAAAAAATCGCATCGTAAAAATGGATTACAACAAAACAAAATAAGGCATAAAAGTACTAACTACATTAGTTTAGCATCAGCTTATCAAAGAAAAATGTTCAATTTTTCGACAACATCGAGCTCTTTCTGTTTCATCGCTTATAGCCGTGGTATGATCTTACAGATGTACCCAGTGCCGTAGAGTGTAGTGCAAAACTTTTTGCGTCAGAAGGGACTCGAACCCGCATCTCACTTTATCCAGGAGCGCGTGCTCTAGCCCGTGACAAGTCCAATGTCGATAGCGACTACCTGGGTCAACCCGTTGACGGTTGGTGGTCGGTAGATAGATGCGCTGCAGCGTAGAAAGAGTGATGGCAAAACGTGCGTCAGTGGTGCAACGGGTTGGAGCACGCGTTTCCAGAAGGAGTGGGGTGCGGGTTCGAGCCCCGCATGACGCAAAAAATTCTTGCACATCACTCTACATCACTAATTAAAATCCAACAACAGCTTTCAATCGACTTTTTTTTGAGAACTCGCCTGGAGATCAATATAGTCTGATAGAATGTCCAAAGCCTTTGTATGCACGTCTACCACTAGAGATGCCATATCACACCTCTGAAAGGCTTGAAACATTCCATCAGACTATACCGTGATATACCTCATGATATGGAGTGATGTGCAAAACGTTTCGCATTGAGCGGGACTCGAACCCACATCTTACTCTATCCAAGGACGCTTGCTCTAATCCGCTACGCTACTGACGCCCGTTTTATCACTGAATTATTCAGTCTATGCCGAAATTGATAGAGAGTCAGCAATGGGAACTACTTCACGGTACTAGAGCTCCAGTACTAATTGAAGTACTTCAATGAACTCATACTAGCCTAATTGGAATCGAACCCGGGTCGCCCGCTTGGCAGGCGAGCTTTCTACCACTAAACCACCATTTGAGAAATGAAATGAATAAGAAAAAAATGGGAACAAGTCTCCAGAGAATTTCACGGATAAATCAGGACTTATAGGGGAGATAGAGAACGACAACCCACCCCTCCCCCCGCGCTTAGGAATTGCAATTTTCGCTTCCACCACTTTGACTGAGTATTCGATATCGCCTGCGTCCCGTGCGGAAAATGTTACGGTAGCGGGTGGTAAGACGCGCGAACTTGTCATCGGCTGGCTGTAGATCACTTGGAGGTCACGCTCGTCGCTGTCCGCCATCGACTGTTCGCTTCCCGCCGCTGCAAACTGATCTTCTTATGTTTTCAAGAGGTTTTTTTTAAATTATTTTTCATTAATTGAAGAGCGCATGTGGCGCAGTGGTTAGAGGTGCCCTGCGTCGCACACGAGGTCAATGGTGCGATCTCGCGCTCATGTCTCACCAAGCCATCCATCCCTCCGGGGTCGGTAAATTGGTACCAGACAGGTCTCAGACTTATCTGGGAGGATAAGCAGCACTGACTCGGTTCAGCGGGAGGCCACCGCGAGTCATTGTAAAGGCCAGATGTGCATTCAATCACCTCAAACGAAGTTAAAAATTGAAGTCGAATGCATTGCGCATCCCTAAGGGATTGATTAACGCCGAGAGCTTTATCCTTTTTTATTTATCTTCGTTGATTTTTTTTCTTATTATTTTTGTTGTCACCTTCTTTTGGTTATTGTTTTTTTCGAATTTTATTTTCTGTTTCCCGGCAGCTTACGGTGGTTTTTTGAGGTTTTTAGCGCATCACGGTAGTTTTCTAGCAATTTGCGGTAGTTTCTTAGATTTTCGACGGCTTAGGGTAGTTTCTTTGATGGTTTTCAGCGTCTTAGGGTTTTTTTTAATTTGTAGTGAGATATAATTAATGGAAGCGCATGTGGCGCAGTGGTTAGAGGGACTCTGCGTCGCACACGAGGTCGATGGTTCGACCTCGCACTCATGGTGTACCCAGCCATCCATCCCTCCGGGTTCGGTAGATTGGTACCGGACTGGTTTCGGACTTGTCTGGGAGCATAAGCAGCCTTGATCCGATAGAACGGGGCCCACCGTGAGTCACTGTAGAGGCCAGATATGCATTCAGTCACCTCAAATGAAGTTTAGAATTGAAGACGAATTCCTGGCGCATCCCTCGGGAATTGGTCAACGCCGAGAGCTTTATCCTTTTTATATTTAATTACCTGAGTATTTGTAGGGTCCGTTATGAATAGTATGGACCCATACAAAGGAAGCTGCGCTAGTTTAGGTGTTTTGTCCTCTGGAGACCCGAGTAAGCCTAGCCGGGTTTCCTCAGATCGTTCGTCACCCCAGAGCAATCGCTGGCCCTTGTGGATCAGAGGGAGATCACCACCTTGCGACTAGGAGCCACCAGGATCGCGATCATTCCTTGTTCGGTTTCCTCTTAGTTGGGATTTCAAGGTGGAAACGTCGGACTCCTTCTCGGCTTGGGTGACCTTGCTAGGAATGAACACCCCATTTACTTTGCAGTCTCAGATACCCGGGAACCTTCGAGCCACGGGGTGGCGGTAAACCTTCTGGGAAGAGCGACATACAATAGTCTTCTTGAAGGTTTCAAACCAGGCGGGGTAGTTTTTCTTGAACTTCCAGCGTCAATGGAATCTTTTCTTTTGGATTTTTAAGAACTTGGGATTGTTCTATCTTAGGTTTTCAACAACTTGAGAAGGTTTTTCTATAGGTTTTTAGCAGCCTGAGGTAGTTTTTTCTTGAGTTTTCAGCCATTAGTGGTAGTTCTTTTTCTAGTTGTTCAACAACTTCTAGCTTTTCCTCAGGTTTTGCAGCAACTTGAGGGAGTTTTTTTTTCGGTATTTAGCAGGTTGAAATAGTTTTAAAGGTTTTCAGCAATTGCATGGTCTATCTGAGCTGAAAATATGCTAAACACTTCTGTAATGTGAGCTTTTTAAGGGTTCCGTCGTTTTTATAGCTTATGATGCCGTGACAAAAAAAAAATCTCGAGATCTTTGTGCTTCGTGTATAAAGAAAGTGATTCTTGCAGTTGTTCTCAACGAAGCGTATCAAACAACGATGATTCTCTGTAGAGTGATTTTTTGTCGAATCGACTCAAATTCAATCTATAGATGGATTCCGATGTGGAGGAGGATGTAACGGTCGAATCAGGCGAAGAGCTGGAGGGCCCTGCGAATTGCCAGCTCTCACCGAATCTCTGTAGTTGTGGTGCTTATGACAAAATAATGTCAGCAACGAATCTGCTACGAAAAAGGATCGTTGAAGCCGTGAATAGTGAGCTGGATCAGTACGAACAGCCGTTGGAAGTCCTTTTGGGCTCTTCGAAACAGGTTACTCAACAGAAATTCTTTCATTTAACTTTCTTCTAGCAATCTCACGATGTTATATTTACATATTCAGGAATATTGAGTGATATAAAAACTTTTGACCCCAAGCAGGAACTGAACCAGTTTCACACATGCCAGAGTCGCGTACTACCACTACACCACTGAGGGCACAGCTCTGCCACCACTTTTTCCTGGATATAAGGCATCGAACTTCAACGCTTAGGCTATGTCGGCTCAACTGGACTAAATGTCGATATGTGCCTACCATTGTAAATCCGCTGACGATGTTGTCGCTAATTCTTCGATGCCTCAACTCTTTCGGAACCACGGACCCACTACCTCTGCGTCTACAACCTCCAGCGCGGCAGCATTGGGAAGTCTGCTCCATCTCCTTTCCATCTCTAACCTCCAGAGTGAGAGCGCACTGAATGTATCATTGTAATATTTCAATTTTATTGTCATTGTTATCTCACTACATATAACAATATGTTTTTATATATAATATAACATAGGAAAATGACACCAATAATACAATCGAAATATTGTGATAATGCATTCAGTGCATTCTTTCGCTGGGAGTTGGAGATGCAGAAGAGTTGGGTCCGCGGTCCGGAAAGGGCTAAATCGAAGAGTGGTAGCAGTGCGGTAGTCTCGGTTGTGTAGTGCTAGAATGCGCTCCCGGTATGGATACGGCACGGGTTCGACTTCTGCCCACAGTTGGAAGTTTTACATGTCAGTCAGGTTATTCCATATTTTGTAAATCTTGTCGATCTTACCAGCAGGTGCTGTAATTGATTGAATCGCACACTGAGGACGAATTAAGTAGATTTTTCTGAATCGTTTTGTTCCCAGGGTTTTGCTCATAGCCAGGAAGATCAGGCAACAATCGGAAGTGCTCAGGCGACGTATGATGGTTCAGGAAGTACGCCACAGATCGATTCACAATCTCAGGTCTCTGAGTCGAATCCTTCCCAGTCATCACCAGCCCATGCTATTGTGAATGATATTCTTGTTAATGCTTCTTTGTTGTTATTGTCGAAGTTGAAATAAGTTGTTGAAATAAATCTTGTTTATCATGGATAATAATGTCAACAAGTGTAGACATACCTCGTCCTACTTCATCAATAACACATCGTTTATTGAATGCTAATCCTATAACGATCACAGGTTGCTTTATTCCATAAGTACATGACAGAGCAAGGCGTCTCGAGTGCCTTACTGTGTTACGTTTCCAATCAGTTATCACAAGAATGTACGCCGAGCCAACTTGTCGTTCTAACGGCTGAAGTCTTTGGTGCGGTGAAATGTAAGCCGTATTCCCTTCTTATAGTTGATCAACTTTACCCTTACAGGACCGTGAACCCACGGCTCTGGGCCTCTAACTCCCAGCGTGCTGCGCTAGCAATGGCAGAAGTCATTAGACGCCACTCTCACACGCAACACGTTGAGAGGTTAGAGACGGGGCCGGATCCAGGGTACCGCAAAAGGTGAAGAATTTTATTTGGATCTCACTAATCCTTTCGCTACGATGTGTAGCTAGGACGGTACACGCGTCTCCGCGCTTTTAGGATCTCCGAAGATTGGCGCAACTCCCAATGAAATCGACCGATAACCCAGTAAAATAGATTGCGTTCATAGTATAAAATAAGTGAGTGTATGGAAAACCAGCATTATCTCTTGGCAGCTGCTCTTCGTAGCCGTCCGGACCGTCCACCAGCCGAGAATGATAGCCATAGCGAAAAGGTTAAGAAGCTGCTGCACATCACTGAACGTGGTTGGTTTCAATTACGAAATGTTGCAAATGCTTGAAGGCTTTTGCTTAGGTGTTTGCGTGTGCAGTTACCCCCCCCCCCCTCCACCCCTTTGAGGGCTTGTGGCCGAGTGGTTAGTGATGCTCAGCGCAACGCGACGTGGGGTTGATTCTCCTTTCTCTCCCAGCGCTTTGTGGCACTCAATAATGAAAGCCTTCCGGAACGCTCCAGCTTGGTTATCCTCGATACGGCTAGTAGACGTGCTCGACTCTCGAGATTCTACGACGTTCGTGAGTGTGAAATCAAGCGAGCGGAGAAACGAATCGAATGCTACTAGTGGTCAAATGAAGTAGAGTGATAAAGTAAAAGTTGCTCTTATTTTTTGATGTTGACTAATTTTGAAAGGAATTGTTGTTTTCAGGCTCACTGAACGAATCGGCTCAACATGCTTCAGTCTGCCGTCGTTTGATTGAGAAGCTATCTAAGCTTCCTGCAGAATCTTTTGAATGTGAAGAATGGGTTATTGTTCTCAACTGTTTCTCAGCGAATACAAAGATGCCGAGTGATTTCGTTGATCGATGTCTAACAACATCAAAGATGTGTCGATATAGCCCAGTAGGAGTTGCTGCCGATGATTTAGTTGACAGTGAGAAAGCCGAGGTAACTGATTTGCTTCAGTCATTTCGAATCGTTACCTCGATAAGCTTCTAATGCTGATGATGTTCAAGAGTCTCATACTACACAGTAACCGAGAAGCTCTGTTGGAGACGGGCATGGTTAGCCGTGTGTTAATGTTATTGTTTCCTCTGGATTGTCTTGCTCAGAGCGTGAATGACTTTCAATCCCATAAGGATCCCTCTGTGTACGTTTATCATTTCTGCTGATCCTTTTTTCAGCACTCTCAACTGACTATTG